AATAAAGGACGCCGTGCGAGCGGCGGTGGCGTACGTGTGCCAGGAAAATTCTCCTGTGTCCCTGTGTCCATCTCCTTCTCTAGTCTTCTTCTTCCTCGAGAGCGAGAGGCGAGAGCTGAGTGAGGTAGAGAGGTAGAGCTCCGGCGAGCAGGGGGAGGCCGGCGGCAACAACACATCTTCCTCAACGAGAAGGAAGCCGAGGTCATCACCCCCTCGAGTCCACCTGGTACCTCGACGCCGGCCCCTCCAACCACTTGCGATGGCTCGGCCTTCACCGAGCATGACGAGGGGATCATCGGCAGCATATATTTCGGCGACGACTCCATCACACGGATCAAAGGACACAACAGATTGCGTTCACGGATAACGCTAACCTGCCAGCGTCTTCAGCCTTGGACAGCTCGACAAGCACGCATGCGACATCCGCATCCGGCATGGGGTCCTCACCATCCGCAACCGGTGAGATCGCCTCCTAGTGGCCGCCTCTATTTCCTCCTCCTCATCACCACATGTGGCTGGTGCTGCTCTCGACGAGAGGTTTTTTTTTTACCAAAACACTAGGTATATATAGTGCATATCATATGTACATACAAGAAAAAACCAAACTGATGCAATGAACGTGCTAGCTAACTAATTCAGCCCCAGAAAAGAGGCTAGCCTAGCTTGCTATTCTCCCTAATCACCCACGACGTGGCCCATCAGCCCTAATAGCTTCACGGTGCAACATGCACACGCATGGGTCACGCATCCATCGGTGGTTCAGTTGCCTTCGCCAAATAAAAAATCTATCGATCCAGCAGGAAAGGAAAGGAACCAGCGCCGCCGTTGCCCTGTTCCCCAAATTATGTTCGCAAGCAAGACGCTGGCCTGATTGCCATCGGCCATCGCATGTTCGCAGGCGCGGCGGCAAACACTCGCGGGCGCCATGATGCGGTGCATCATCCAGATTCCAGTGTCACGAAATCCATCCCTCGCTCCCTTTGATACTGAATTTTAAAGGCCTAGGCTCTAGTATGATCTGTTCATATAAATTAGATTTGTGCATGTGGCTTAATAGATTAGGACTATTAAAATTGGGATCTGGGGTTGCTCCTCTCTTATCTATTCTTGGTTGAACTAAATACGTCTTGCTAATTAGATATTGATTATTAATTTCTCTCTGTATCTCAAGCCTATTAGCTTGTTTTTATAATATAGTTAAGAAGCTAACAAGCAAGATGGCGCAAAAATACTTTAATGATTGCTTGTTTACAATCATCAAAAGAGATTTATTTTTGCAAGTTAAGCATGAGGACATCATCACTCATTTTGAAAGCATCGTGGACTGGAAAGTTATCCTGTAATATGTAAGTTCTTGTTTATCATTTGTTATTTTGTATCTATATGTGTCTTAGATTTTGCCACTTTGATATGCTGAACAATTAGTGTTAAAATATTGTGGACAATTTGAAGTTATGATCAATTTTGTGACTCCATTATATTATGCTATATCTTTATGTATTATCCAATTTGTATAAACTAGTATTAAAATCAGTTATATACACCAAAACAAGGGTTTAGTCTTTAAAAAATCTGCCTTTGAAATTTTGAATACACACTCTTGAAATCATGGGCCCGCCCCTGCTCGACGAAGGACGAGGTGGGAGTGCTGCTCAAGCACTTCCAGGCGTGCGTGGAGACGGAGGTGAGGCGCAAACTCCGCACGCTTCGCACTGACTATAGCGGTGAATTCACCTCCCACTCCCCCGTTGATTGCTTCGCCAACACCTGGGTGAAGTGGCACCTGACGGCGCCGTACTCACCGCAACAGAATAGCGTCATCTAGCACCACAACCAAATGGTGGTCGGCATGGCCAGGAGCATGATGAAGGCCAAAGGGGTGATGGGCTACTTTCCGAGGAGAGGCAGTGATGACTGCCATCTACGTTCTGAATTGCACGCACACCCACAATGTCGAGGCAATGACATCGTACGAGGCATGGGATGGCAAGATGCCCAAGGTGGATCATCTGCGTGCCTTTGGCTGCATCGACCAAGTCAAGACGGCGCGACCACACCTCAAGAAGCTCGACGATCGAAGCACGCCCATGGTCTTTATCGGGTACGAGCGGGGCTACAAGATGTACGTGTGTGTATGATCCCACCAGCCGCCGCGTGCATGTCTTTGTTACAACGAAGCTTTTCAACAACTATCTAGGTGTGATCGTACATAATAAAGCTCCCGGACATGATATGCTAGATTTCTATCAAAGTACATGGAGGTCATTAATTATCAAAGGCTGAGACCCGGTGTTTGTTACAGGCTCCATTGATCGATAGAATCCTAGCAAAAGGTATGAAGGGTTTTTTCTTTTTATGAATTATGATTCATCAACAATTTTCATGGACATTTTCTTATCTGCAACTGCTGGCTGATGCTGGTCATTTTCTTTACAGGCCAAACAGAGTAGTCGTCAAAGAAAAAATTATTCCAGTTAGAAATATGGCTATGCTCTAGCTACCAATTTCAGTTTTGCGGTGCGTGTTCCTACGTCGGTAGTGATGCTTCATGTTCTGCTTGGTGCAAATTTAGACGCAGCTTCTTCATGTTATCTGTAGAGTTAATTACACCTACAGTACATAAACTTGCACAACTGATGCAGATTCATACAAAAATTTGAAAACTGACAGAAATTAACCCTACAACTTGTACTTTAGGTACAAATGGGTACATCCCACCTTTTATTGAGGAAAAAAAAGAATGTACCAAAATAATACCACCAAAAACAGCGCACGTGGGGGTGAGATTAGAACACTGAACCTTGGCTAAAATGTGCCACCAGCTGGCCAGCACACCATCTACTATTTTCGGTACAATTTGCAGGTAAAATATTTGCTGATATTGTTCGGTTGCAGAATTTGTCTTCATCTGTCTATTTGTTTGTGGGATTCGATCAGAATATGCTGCTGTGTGGCTTTAAAAGCTACTCCCTCCGTCCGGAAATACTTGTCATCAAAATGAATAAAAGGGGATGTATCTAGATGTATTTTAGTTCTAGATACATCCCTTTTTGTCCATTTTGATGACAAGTATTTTCGCACGGAGGGAGTACAAGCTTGCCACTGTTTGGTCATCGATGTCGATAGTTATTACGTTTAAGTACATACCATGCAGTTTTTATGGCTCACAATGATCTCTTTTATATTGAAAGTGAAACCATTGATTTATTTTCAGATTGGGATATATTTATTAATATCCAAGAAAAATATAAAGAGGCAAAATCTAGCTCCTACTCTTGTACAGACCATAGACAAGGGGTTTTCGCAGTCTCAGCGACAATATTTTGGCCACTCACAAGCATGCAGTACATATTTTCACCCAGTGATTTTCTTTTGCAATGCTCGTCGACCAAGTCGGAGCTGCCTGGTTGCCGGCGCGTGTGGTTTATTTTGGCTTTGGCCGGCGTAGGCCTTTATGCTTGTTTGCATTGAGGGCTTCATCAGTGGTCGTTAATGGTGGAGCTGGATTCGCCCTCTCGCGCAGGTGTCATGACGATGTTGCCGGATTGCAACCTCGACAGCGCTTTTCTCTTTGATGGTGTGGGTAGTCAGGTCACCGAGTGTGCCTCGTTTTTACGGGCATGGTGTGATGGTTTTCGCCCGACTTTCTGTTAATTAACCAGGCAAATCTCTTCTTCCTTAATGAATTTGAGATCCTTTGAGGCAGTCTTAAAGAAATCTCTTTCAAATCAATTATTCTCGATAAATATATAGAAATGCAGATATCTCTAGCTTGTACTTACAAGAAATAGCATAGGTTTCACTGGTTAGTTTCCCATGTTCGCGAAGTGCTGTCGTGCGTTCGAATCCTCCTTGCCTCCTTGTTTTTAGATGTTTCTATATATACTTCTTTCTCTACCCAACTGACCCACAGATAAACGAGAGCGGGCACCATGCTAAGTAGGCAGATTTAGAGAGAGTTAACACCGAGCAATGGAAATGTATCCTTTTGTGCCTAGAATACAAGTTGTAGGATAGATTTGTACTCCAGGCAGGCAAGAGTATAATTTTTCAATTTTTTGTATGAATCTGTACCCGCCGTCTATATTCATGTACTATAGATGCAATTAATTCTTATCTGTACATATGACTACATTATAGGCTTGCATGTGTATTTCATTTACAGCGGCATGTGCTCCAGACAGGCAAGCAAACTACTATCTCCCACGCTTTTGTGGTCACTCTACTGCTGAGAGAAACGTGTCACTATCAATGTGCACATCGCGGCATCTGCCATGGTGTCGTCAGCTTCCAGTGTATTGGGGTGAGAATTTTTGCGAGGTAGCTTGGTGGATCATAGTCATTGTTTTGGTTACTGGGCGGTAAAATCTCAGTGCCCAACCACAAAAACTATTCACTTGGAATCCAAAACCTTGATGATAGTGAAGTAGGGTTTATTTTTCTCAAGCAATTTTTTTGGAAACCGGTCGGTAAACGGCCTTACCGTTACCTGCCGAAATATGTTGTTAACGGACGATATTTGTTTTTTGCAATTTTTGAATTTAAACTCAGGAAGTGGATCATATAAGATGTGTATGCTTGTTTTACCATACACTACATCTTAGCCCAGCGGAAACAGGTTTCAGGACGGTGCTTCAGGTCGTGGGATTGAGACCCGTCGCCTTCTTTACCATACACTACCTCTTAGTCCAGCGGATACACGAACTGATGTGAAGGGAAATAACTTGGATTTAGCATATCCATGTGAATCAACATTGCGTGTTTGTTATTTGAGATGATAGATCATTGCGTGTTTGTTACTTTCATTTTTGTTGCCTGTTATACTTGAACAATCTTGTTGTCTACACATATTGTACCGCATACAAAATGTTTTGCCATAAATGAGTGGGAAGAAATGATGGGAACATCAACAGGACGATGCAAATGATGACAGATCAACCAGGTTGAATAAGAAGAAATGAACGAATGAAATTCTTAAAGAGCTGAGACTGAGGACTAACCCAACCGTCTGCGAGAGGGTGATGACGGTGAGGCACCAAAAGTCCTTTTGCCCGAGAACGGAGACGAAGCCGCCAAGGAGGACGACGGTGGTCCATGTAACCACCAGAAAACCCAGCCCTCTCACCGCCATGGAGAGGTACCCCATGAACAGGGCGTAGTTGTTAATGGTCTCTACCTCGGGCAGCTCCTCACCCAACGTAAGCACGAAGCCACAAAACGCATCAGCCACACCAGACCACCAGTTCTTCTTTCCACTCTGCTTATGATCTTCATCAGACGAGTGGGAGGAGCTTTGCATTCTAGCTCGATCGATCAGAGCCGAGACAACTGCTGGTGTCGTCGATTGAGCGAGCTAATTAATTTGGAGTAAAGATGGGACTGAGACTCGCTAGTTGCTACGATCTGATCACGCACGCGACAAAACATACTGGCATGGGCGGAGTATATGTAGTGTACTACTAGTGTGAACAGCTATGACCCTGCACGGTTTTAATGCCAACAAATTTGTCGGCCTGCGCATTTGCTTGGTTTGGTTGTCATGTCCTGTACCTGGTCCCACGATCGCTCTTAAATCGTTGGTAGTTGGCTGCATGTGCGTTTTCCTCTGGCCCAGGCCCGCGTCACTAATCCTCTGTGGGTTGGCCTGGCATAGTTAGTTAGAGCATGGTTAATAATACAGCCAACTGCTGTCCAGGGCCGGCAAAATCCCTGGCCCTGTGTGAAACTGAAAAATGGGGCCCTATCTCACAAAAAATAAACTAAAGAGGAGTTATAGTATATATATCTCGCAGAAAAATATTGTAATGTATATAATATAATGTCTTACATAACAATTGGACATATAAAAAAGTCATACCTATCCAACTCCTGATTGCTATTTGTCTGAACATTTTCATTCTTTTAGCGTTTTGAAATGAAATCTTCAATGATATCCTCGTAATCAATCTTCTGCAACACTTCACTCTCAAGTGCTATTGTGGCCAAATCATTGAGTCTTTGTAATTATTAATTAAATTTTGTTCTTGTGCTTTTCTCTTGCGCTTAGAGGCACCAGACTAATCTTTCCTCGTGATGACTCAAATCTGTATTATTGAAACACAAGATAAATAAGATGAATAAAATAAAATTAAAGTTACACTATATATCAATTGGAGATCATGCATCAATGTTTGCCAACAAAGTGATCAAGCGAAGATCCCTGCCAATAGTTATTAGTTAATTAGAAAGTTAGGAATTAGGAGTAGGAACCAAAGTTAATTGAAAAGGACTCACTAAGCATCTGGCAGGAGGCTAGAGTCGGTCACCAATCAATCCAAATTTGAGAGAGGATAGAGGAGGCGAGGAAGGCAACGGCCGTTCGCCTGTGATCCGATTCCGATCGATCCAGCGAGACCGGCGTTCCTTTCGATTGAGACCAGACAAAGTGACGAACTGACGATCGAGAGTTTTCACAAAACACGATCCTGAATTCCCCATCTCTGTAGCGATCGAATCATCAAGTAGGAATCCCGTAAAAAAAGACATCGAGTAGGAATCCCGTAAAAAAAGACATCGAGTAGGAGGACTAGGGGAGAGTCGAGGAGATCGATCACGGATCCCGTTCAGCGCTGGTCTCGTTGCTTGATTCTTTTTGAAGGGAAGGTCTCGTCGCTTGACGGCTAGATGCCCTCGTCGCTTCGACTCCAACCCTGCAGTCCAGCCCACTCCAGCGCCCAGCAACCCACTAGCG